TCAACTCAAGAAATTACTGTTGTAAATTCTTTTACATGGGAAACAAGTTTACATGAAATGAGTTTTTTCAATAGAAATTGCAACGAAATTTAACGAACTCAATCAACAAATACGTCTACATATATATTTCCGTCCCATCCTTCTTCTTTCTCTCTCTCTTTACCACTACTCTCTCGCTCTTTCTTTTACCTTCTCGCTCTCTTTCTTCCCCATCATTCTCTTGCTCTTTTCATCCTCTTTCTCAATTGTTCTAGATACAATTTTTTATTTCAAGACAATCAATACGGCACATAAAAAAATAGTAATTCAAAATTTTATTAATATCAGTTGCTTAACTTAACGTGTGTGTGTGTGTATTTGTGCGTGTGTTTAAACGTGAGTATGTGTGGCTAATTGTATGTGTGTGAGAGAAAGAAAGAGAGAGGGAGAGAGAGAGAAAAAAAGAGGGGTTGGTGGGAATGACGTAGATAGGCTCCAGCAGACATAGTGGATTAAAAACCCGGTGGCGAATAGTGCAACCATTTTTTGTGACGTCATTGCCGGATGTCCATCCACTACGTGGCAGGAAAAAGTTGAGTGAATGAATGAATGGTGAAAGGATAAAATTATGGATGGGTTGATGAGTGGGTTGATGAATGGATAGATGGATGGATGAATGGATAGATGAATGAATGAATGAATTTATAAATGAATGGATTAAAGAATCGAATGAACAAATTGATGAACGAATAATTGAAACGAAAAATATACATGAGTGGGTAGATAGATAGATAGGTGGATGGATGAATGAACAAAAGCATGAACGAACGAATGGACGAGTAAATGAATGAATGAGTGAAAATATAATTGAAAAATTTGATGGAGAAAAATAAAATAAATAAATATGCACTGATTGACAAGACTTTCCACCGAAACAGGAATGGCACACCTTTGGAATGAAAAATATTTGCAAGTAACTTTTTCAAATCGTTTCAAACATTCTAAACATTTTACATTCTGGAAAAAATCGAAAATGTATTTTATTAAAACTACGAAATCTTCATCGCAATTACAATTTTAAAAACTTCGATCTCTAAATTCTTACCAACTTACCAAAGATTTATTACCAAATCAAAAAAAAAAAATCTTACTGTACTCTACACCAGAGGTGAGCGTGATCGAAATTTGTTCCCAATTTGCTCCCATTTTCTTTTTTATTCCCGAGTTCCCATTTATGACAACGTTCCCGAAAATTCCCAATCCTTATTTTTTTAACTCATTCCCGCGTTTTCTTTCCCATTCCCTCCCGCTCCCCATTTTTCCGGCGCTTCCTGTTCCCATGCTCACCTTTAACTCACATATATAAAAGGAATAAAATAAAAATAAATGAAGCCATCACTTCCGGTTAGGTATCTTCTCTGTTTATCCATTCACCATTCGTTGCACCCAGAGAGAGAGACAGAGAAACAGAGAGAGAGAGAGAGAGAGAGAGAGAAAGAGACAGAGAGAGAGGGGGAAGAAAGAGAGAAAGAAAGAGATCTCCATGCGATGAAGAACTCTAAATAAAAACCAACGGCATACGTGGATGAAGTCTTTGCGTTCTAAGTGTTCCTTGTTCATAAGATTAAAGTTTAGATTAGGGCTCATTAATATTCATGAGCTTCCTTCAGCTGACACAAATAATCATAATATATGTATTTAAATTTTAAATTAAACCTGACTTTATCCAAACAAAAGACGCCCAAAACAGTCTAACTGTATAATGGTTACCCAGACTGTGTTGTGATTGACACAGCGATTTTCAACTGGATACAATTGTGTTTGAACCAGGGCTCAGAGGCATGGTCGAATTTCTCTGGAGAGGCTATAGAAAAGTCAGTATTTTAGATTTTAGCATTCAGAAGGCTGAAGCAAATTAGTTTTTACTGTTACCGCTATCGAATATTAATGAAATTAAACTATTTTATCAATGTAACTATTGTTACATTTAATTATAACTATAATTAAATGTATTATAACTATATAAATATAATTACATTACTAAATTATTATATAAAAATGCAAAATAATCTCACTAATTCGGCCAGTTTTGTCGCAATTCCCACAAATCTTCTTAAACAACACACTCACAAGAAGAAATTTGAGTCCAGCTGTCATCGATTTTCAAACAAATCACCCGATTAAACGAGCCAATCATTTAAATCTTTGTAAATTCAAATATAAAATTAATTTTTGAAATTAATTAACTGTGAAATTGTAATTATTTGACTAAAATTCCGGCAAAATATCACCCCAAGATGGTGCAACGAACTTCAGCAGCTACACCACGTCCGAAACTTACACAACCAACAGAGAGCACGTAAACCAGTTAACCAAATTAGGCAACCAATGAGAAACGAGCGTCAGCTCACGTGATTTTAAACTCGACACCCATAGGCTGCTTAAGGCCCAAATGTTTCTGCAACCTTCAAACTGGACCGAGGTTCACTAGGTCAGCATGTTGTGTGCGTGTGCGTGCGTGCGTGAATATGGCACGTTCGCGAATGTATCAACGTACGTATGTTTGTATGTATGTTTGTCTGTATGTTTGTTTGTATGTATGTTTATGTATGTACATATTTGGTAGAAGAACGTTTTGATAGAAAGATGTTTGTTGTGCTTTTGTCTGTCTGTATTATGTATGAATATAGCTTGTGTGTGTGTGTGTGTGTGTGTGTGTGTGTGTGTGTGTGTGTGTGTGTGTGTGTGTGTGTGTGTGTGATGTGTATGTGTTGGTTTTATAGTATACATATTTGCATTTGCGTATGCACATGAATGAAGAAACGAAGGGACGAATGAATGAATGAGTGAATGTATGAACGAATGAATGAGAAAATAAGTGAATGAATGAATGGATGGATGGATGGATGGATGGATGGATGAGTGAATGAATGTTTCATTCTTGTTTCGCGTCATATCAGTAAACGGCCTAAATATAGATATTCTATTTACGGTGCTTTAATGATTTCGTGAACAACATTCACAAACATATCTATGTACCAACAATCGTACAGACACACACACACAAACAAACCAACACACACACATACATACATACAAATACATACATACCAATATCTGGTAAAGGCTGGTAAAAAAAATCAATCACTCGTTTTATTCGTTTCGGGCATTTATAAATAGTATGAAATTTTTCTACAAAGAAAAATTATTCTGAAATAATTTCATAATTTTGTTGAAATATCTTCAATATTTAATTAAATACAAGTAAATAAATAAATTGACGAACCAAATATTTAATAAAAATAATTCATCGAAATCATTTTGTCGTTAAGCTGTGATGGGTGTTACTTAGATTTTGTAGCACTGTGATTATACGTAAAATATATAATTATCCACATTATGCGCGTGTGTGTGTTTGTGTATATCTGTGTGTGTGTGTTTTTGTATACGCATGTGTATGTGATCTGTACGTTATAACCAATCTATTCGAAAGAATTTTGATCCTAAAAAAAAACAATATTAACCTAGACCATTTAGAAGATCAATAAAATATCCATCATAGCTTATTCCCAAGAAAGGCAATCCGCTCCACAATTGCTGAAATTAATTTTTCAATTTAACCTAAAATCAGAATGATTCCTGAACTCCATCTGATCATCAGACGCAAAGGTTATATTTAAGAAATGCGACAAATTCATCAATTTTGAAGAAAAGCCATTTATTGATATATTTCTCGATTTTGCTTAATAATTAGTGAATAACATAGCGAATATGGATTCTCACATTTGACTTTCTGGTTAATATTTATTAAATAACTCATTAATTCATTTCTCGTGTGATTAATAAGCACACGACAACACGAACAACAGGAAACACACGAATTTACACACTCATACATACACACTCATACACACACATTTACATACACCCACATACAAACATACACGTACATACAACCCATAAGAATATAAATAACCACACACGTTCATAACTTTATAAATCTTTAAGAAACACAGCAAAGGAAAATACACACACACACACACACACACACACACACACACACACACACACACACACACACACATACACACACAAAGAAGAAACTTTTACACATAATGATTTCCTGGCTTAGAATTAAATTCAACGTTTAATCACTAAACAAACAGAACCCTATCTAAATAATGAAACTACACACACACACACCGACACACCGACACACACTCACACACACATATATACATGATATATATATATATATTCTACGATTCTATCCGATTATCATAAATACACGAGTAACTAACTCCATTGTTCTTTAAAAACAGTGAATGTAGCTTTTGAGTCAAGTGTATCTCTCCTTCTCTCTCTCTCTCGCTCTCACTTTCTATTTATCTATATATATATATATAGATAGATATAATTGTATATACGTATATATATACACATACACATGTATATACACATACGTATCACCATTAGTCTAAACTATGTCAAGACTTGACTTAGTGAAAATGACAAATTGTAAAATTTATTTTCTTTTTTTTGATAAATTAAAAAGTCAAACATCTAAATATGAGAGGCAAAACTAGCTTTGTTTAAATTAAAAACATTTATTCAATTTTTTTTTTCATATTTTAATCAATCTCTCTTTCTATCTATCTATCTATCTCTCTTTCAAGCAATCAAAATAGCATTTTTAAGCCAAAGGTTTCTAACATTATTATTGAAAAATTTCATTTTAGTTCAACAAACAATACACAACAAAACACACAGGGCAAAGAAACACAAACACACACACACGTACACACACACGCACGCACACATTGTCATAAATATATAATCAAATAAAATAACATTGTTAACATGAAATCAGATCAAATTGGAAAAAAAATGTAAAGATAGGTTAGGGAAAGAACTAAAATAAATTAATAAAGAACACTCAAAGTTCTCTGTAGCCATAATATCGTAATAAATAATATAAATAACAAAAATATTCATCATCATTACAAATTTTAGCATGAAATAAGGAAAAATTGTTAATTTTTTTACAATTCTTTCAAAAAACACAAAAAAATCAACGTATCAGGCACTTAAAATACGTAAATTAATGAATGAAATGTCATATGTAGACTAAATACAACCAAATAAATTTCATATACAATCTATTATAGCTAACAAAATCATCGAAAAAAAACTATAGAAATATAACATACAAATTTTAGTAACAAATTATTCTATATATTCGATCTTCAATGGTTACGATGATGCTTATGATGAGAGTGCTTTACGGTCGAGATGTCCCCACCATAGTGATTAGTGTAAGTGGAGATGGCCACTTCGAAGAGAAGTTTAAAGATGATAGCCACTAGACAACCGACGGCTAGGCCAACACTGAAACTACTGATGAAAGATTTTTTACTGAAAGAATGAATTCTCAATCCCGACATCAACTGCTTTCCCCGACTGTGAACGAAAATATATTTCCTTAAGTCTGTGTCTGTCATCGAGGTTTTCATTGAAGATGAAAACGGATCTGTTGACTTGTTACTAAAACGTTTGGTTAAGGAAGAAGCTAAAGATTGTAAATCATGTTTGGCACTTTTGTTTGCTGCCTCAAAAATATCATTTGATTTAAATTTAGATGTAGTATCAGCAGTAGTATCATTTGATTTAGAAGTTGAAGTGGTGTTTTCATTATTGACAGACAGATCCATGAGGAATTTTGTGGATTTTTTTGTATGTGCAATGTCCAGATTTAAAAGATTCCCATCAGGATTTAGGAGATTCCCATCGGGATTGTTGCTGTTACTGGGAATTAGTTGTTGTTTTTCACCATCTGAAACTAATTGGTCAATGATGCTATTGTTTGAAGCAGGATCCATGATCATTGATCAAAAATACCCTATTAAAAATTTATTTTTTTATTTATTTATTGTAATATATTAATATAATTTAATCAACAAAAACATACCCCAGTTCAAACTGTGGCGAACAAAATCCGGAACAAAAATCCCGAAATTTGGAGAAATTTAATAAAAAAAATAAATTAAAAGTTACCTCTAATAGGCAGATTCAATTTTTTGCCTACATATTTGGCTGATCTAAATCCTCAATTTTTAATGAAATCAATTGATAAAATATAAAAAAATAATAGGTTTTATTGAAATTTGCAATAATTTATTTAAAATAATGCATCTGTTAACTTAAAACTAGTAAAAAAGTACTTCTGTTTCACTCCTTACCTTAGCAAAAATTACAAACGCGCTCATATTTTTACCTTTAATTTTATATCGAATTCACTTTACACTAATTAGCCGGACCAAACATTTCCCGCATAATTGCATTTGATTCATATAAAACTAATTAATCGCGATCAAAATGCAAAAATTATTTTATATTTATTCAATTTTGGGAATTTTTCTGTTGAAAATAACTAGTTGCAGTCATGTCGTTACTTTGACAGATGATGATTTCCATTCAAAAATTCCTTCTTACACGGTTCTCATTGTCAAATTTTTCGTGCCATGGTTCGTTTTTTAAGGAGTTTAAAATAAACAATTCAAATTTTCATTTAATTAAACTTTATTTTAAATATAAATAATCAAAAATCCCTCTTTTTTGTCGTTCTAAACTGAAATAAATCTTTTTTTGAAATGATCTTTCTACTCTAAACTAAGGTGTGGACATTGTCAACAATTTGATCCTGAATTCAAAAGTGCAGCCAGTGAGGTTGCCAGCAAAAAAAAATGGCCAGTCACTCTCGCTCAAGTTTGTGCTAATTTTTTTTTTAAATTTTTTAATAAAAATCACACACCAAAAGTATATGTATATACTATAGAATAAAATGAATTGACAAAAAATTATTTTTTACTACAAATTTTTATTAAAAAAATTATTATCCCAGCAAAAAAATGCCAAGTTTTCTAATTTTTCTTAATTTCCAGGTTAATTGTGATGGTTCTGGCAAAAAAATATGTGAGGAGTATGGTGTAAAAGGGTACCCCACCATTAAAATTTTCAATTTCGGGGAATTCATGTTCAATTATGATGGGCCCAAAAATTCAGGTATAAAGATTTTTTTTATTTTAAATTTTTATTCAATTTTTTGTAATATTTTATTATACAACTAAAAATCAATTAAGGATTAATTAATTAGTTAGTTTTTTTTCTTACAGAAAGTTTGGTGAAGTTCATAAAGTTCAAGGTCGAACCGGGGTCAGAAAAGGTCAGCAACCTCGACGAGATGGCTGCCTGCTTGGCTAGCCTTGATAACGTTGTGATTGGTTAGTTGGTTGGTTGGTCCTTTGGCTTGACTGATTGGTTGGCTGCTTGTTTGGCTGAACTAATAGCTGGTTGTTAGCTGTTGTTAGCAGTTGTCAGGCTAAACTGTTAGCTGGTTGTTAGCTGTTGTTGGCAGCTGTCAGCTTGTAACTGTTGAAATTTCGTTGGCTGTTATCATTTGGAACGTTGATATATTTGGTTTTTATTGTTAGCAGCGTTGATGTGATTGGCTGTTATTATTAGCAGCGTTGATGTGATTGGCTGTTATTGTTAGTAGCGTTGATGTTATTGGCTGTTATTGTTAGTAGCGTTTCATGTGATTGGATATTATATTTTGTATTTCAGGTTTCTTCAATACAGAAAAATCCAAACTAGAGGGGGAGTTCCACAAGATGGCCGATTTCATGAAACTGGAATACAAGTTTGCCCACACGTACTCCAACAAAATTATGACGACATTTGGCTATAGGGAGTTTGTATCATTTGTGTATTTTGTATTTCTCAGGCACACATGCGATAAACATTACTAATGGGTCTTTGTAGTTATGTATTTTGTAAGTATATTTTAGGTATTCACGCTACAAAAGTTGGGAATTAATTGAAGATGGCGTCCCAATCACGCTACTTATACAGCGAAAACGCTTTTGAAACTACACAAATGCTTTATACAAATTAACAACAACAATAATACTAATAACAATGTTTATTACTAATTTTATTCTGAAAATTAAACCTTTTTTTTAATTTTCCAAGCGAGATAGTTATCTTTCGATCTGAAAAACTGAAAACACCGCTAGAACAGAGCCAAGTTAAGTACGACGGGCCTGAGAATTTGCACGAAATGCGGACTTGGGTGGCCCAGAACTAGTTGGATTCCAATCTTTTTGAAATAATTTTAATACAAAAAATTAATCATACCAGTATAGTTTTTTCGAGTTACTGTATTGTGGCTGGCATATCGGCGTTGTTTTATTACTACTACTACTAAACTATTGAAAATTTTAGCTACTGAATCAATTATTCAACCATTATTCACTCATACAATCATCCATTCGTTCATTCATTCATTCGTTTATTCATTCGTTTATTCATTCATTCATTTTCTCATCTTTTAACTTATTCGTGTTCTCATTTATTCATTCAGTCATTGTATTTTATTATCAAAGTTCTGACTCATTCACTCAATCATTCATTCTTCCATTCATTCACTTTTTCATTCACTCACTCATTCATTCATTCATTTATTTAATTTTTCCGACCAATCACAGCCAAGGCTGGGCTGGGTATAGAACACAAAAGAATACAGAGTTGTTTAAAGAACCATTGGTAGTGGTTTACTTCCATGTAAACTTTGATGATAAATCATCTATCTCTAGCTACTACAGAAATCGGTTGGTTGGTTGTTTGGATGGTTGGTCAGTCGATGGTTGGTTGGTCGGTTGGTTGGTTGTTTGGTTGGTCGGTTGGTTGGTTGGTCGGTTGGTTGGTCGGTTGGTTGGTTGGTCGGTTGGTTGAATGGTTGGTCGGTTGGTTGGTTGGTTGGATGGTCGGTTGGTTGGTTGGTCGGTCGGTTGGTTGGTCGGTCGGTTGGTTGATTGAAGAAATTTTGCTATGGAAATAGCTTTGTGATTAAAATATTTGTTTTGTTAAATAATTTTATGATCAATTGAAATTTTTCTAAATCGATATAGTTGTTTGATTTATATATATATTTATCTGTTTGGTTGAGTTGTGATTGTAAAGAAGTTTGCCTTCATGGGTTATCTAATTATCATGAAAATATAAATAAATTAATGGATGTCATTAAGATATTTTATTACACCAAGTTTTTAAACTCGATCTATTTTATAGAGTCATAATGACGGCCAGGAAATTCCACCGCGGGAAATTCCCATACCACGTGACTTTTGCAGTTTCGAACCTGAATGAGTTTAAAAAGGAACTGGAGGAATACTACGGAATTAGACATATTCCTGAGAGCAAGGATCAGCTAATAGTCACAGCTAGAGATAGTGCTAATAAGAAATACGTCATGGATAACGAAACCGTTTTTAGGTTAGATTTTTTTTTTTTTTAGAAAATATTCAAAGAAAGTTATTTCAAAATGAAATAATACATATTCACACGTTCTGTGTTTGTGTGTGTGTTTGTAATTAAGGAAGAATTATTAATAATTAATTAATTAGTAATATTATTATTCATGTTTGTATTATTTTAAATATTAATGAGAAAGATTATTCGTATCATAATTTTTTTTCAGTTCAGAAAGCCTACAGCAATTTGCCGAAGACATGCTGCTAGGCAAACTCAAACCTTACATCAAATCTCAATCCACTTTTACACACGCCAACGTCAGTCACAGTAGTAATGACGTCAGAGGTGACGGCAGTGGTGATGGCAGGCCGTCTGATGTTACAGTAAGTGACGTCATATTAGTTATAATACTATTTTGTTTCTATTATAATTTTATTAATGAATGAATGTACAAAAAATGAATGGATGAATGAATGTATGAATGAATGAATGAATGAATAAAGGAATGAATAAAGGAATGTACAAAAAATGAATGGATGAATGAATGAATGGATAATTGAGTACATAGATGAATAAATGGATGAATTGATGAACGGATGATTGAATCAGCGAATGAATAAATGAGTGAGTGAGTGAGTGAGTGAGTGAACAAACGATCGAACGAATGGATAGAGAAGCAAATGAATAACCACATTTCTAGAATGCAGTTGGCTTGACGTTCAGCAAACTGGTAGATGACAACACTAAGGATGTCATCGTCCAACTGTATACACCCTGGTCACCACAGTGCAAGGAGACCAGTGAGATATTGAAAAAAGTCTCAAAAAAAGTTAGAAATTAATTTTTTTATCGTTTATATTAATAAATATTTCATTTTTTAAATAAATAAATAAATTTCTTTATTAATTTTTACTAAATTTAGTTTTAATTAGTTCAGGGAAAGGAACGAACGAACGAACGAACGAATGAATGGATGAATGAATGAATGAGTGAATGAATGGGTGAATGAATGGATGGATGGATGAATAACAGAATATATGAATGAATGAAAGAAAAAATTAATGATTTAAATTAAATTTTTGATAAATTTTTTCCAATAGCTAAAAGATGAAGCTGATCTAAGGTTTGTTAAAATTGACGTCACCGCCAATGAAGTTCCAACTCCTTACGTCATAAAAGGGTAATAACGGCTTTTTTATATCTTTTTAAAAATTAATTCAGAAATTTGTTTTACGAATTTTTTAAATTCATTCAATTAATAAATAAATAAAGTAGACTAGGCCTTCGAAATTTGTTTTAAAGTTTAAACTATTGCTACTGCTAATACTACTTCTATTAAAATTATTGATAAAGCTGGTTTTAAAAATGATTACTACCAAAAAAAATTCGTTTTTCAACCCCAAAGTAACTTATTTTTTTAAATTTAATCAAATTTTCCAGCTATCCCTCTGTATATTTGGCGAAGAAAACATTAAAAAATACGCCTCTATTTTACGAAGTAAGTACTATTTTTAGTGACTTCTTCAAGATCATAAATTAATTTCATTTTATTTTACTTAAGTAAATTTGAAATTACAGCATTTAAAAATATTCTAACGGTTTTTTATTTCAAAAATGGCTGTGACATAATAGCGATCTACAGATGAGTAAAGGTGAATTAAAGTTTTAAAATCATTTAATTTCAGGGTGAGCAAACAGTGAAAGGCTATATACGTTTCATAGCTGGTAATTCGACGTTTCCTCTTAAAAAGTATGACAGAAATGGTCAAAAAATTACAGAAGTTGATAAAAAGGCTAATATTTATGAAAGAAAAACTGAATTATAACGTTTTGTTTTTTGTTTTTCGTTTATTGCTGCTATTTTTATGTTATCCATCATGTATGTCTTTGTTGAAATAATTAATTTCTAGTTTTGTAAACCCTAATTTGAAATTGTTTTTTTTTTGGTTCAGTTGAGGTAGAAGACAAAAACTTCTAGAAAAAGATCTCTAAAATATTAAAACGTGAAAGCTCTATTGCTAAGATTCTCCATTTTTATAGAAAAGTATTGAAATTAGAAATATATATAATCAAGGAACAAGATATTTGCATGAAATTTTTTACTGGCCTTGTCGTGTGCTTCCCTTTTGTCATTTACTAAAGTCAAAAGCATTATTGACACATAACAAAAGCAGTGGGCAAAAACTGAAAATAGGTATATGACATGACGTAATTATGACGTTCAGATGATACAATATTTTTCAATTTTCAAATTTTATATATGTGAAGGGTATTATAGATTTTATAAATTATATGAATATGTTTGTGTGTGTGTGTATGTATATATATATATATATATATATATATATATATATATATATATTTTTACCAACATATATATATATATATATATATATACATATATATTATTATTATTATTACATGAATGTATATAAATATGTGTGTGTGTGTTGTGTGTGTATGTGAGTGATAGCTCTAAGTTACTTTTGTTCATTATGAAAATTGCCAGACAAACACTTACTCAGTTTTCTTTGTTTCTAAATTAAGTTTACTTTCCAAATGAAAACAAATCCTCCAGCTCCGCATATAGTTTGCATATAATTTAGTTAGTGGCAGTCGACATCCTCATACGTTTCATTTTTAAAACAAATCGTTCACCCTGAACTTCTTTCCATCACTTCCCAAAAAATATCAAAACAAGATGGAAAGCTCTCCCTATCCGAGTGTAATTGGCATCTCCTTGGCCGAATTAACATTACAGTTGAATCCGAAGGAAAATGCCCTGAAATGGGCGATGCAGCAAGGACTGGTGGCCGCCAGCATGAATTGTTCCTGTGGAAAGAACATGAAGATGTGGAATTACGACCGGTTGAAGGATGGCGTATTGTGGCGTTGCACGAACACCACCGGCTGTAGCAAGACGAAATCCATCCGCTCTGGTAGTTTTTATGAAAAGTGCCGCCTTCCACTGAGTACTTGCATTACGGTCAGTGATTGTAGAGACTAGTTTTTTCTAACAAACTCTCCAGGCATTCAACGTTACATACACGCCATACATTATAAATTATATAATTATTTATACAGATTCATTATGATTTTATAGATAGATTATACACGTTGCAGATTGCACAATTATCAAATATTGTTATTTGCAGATTACGTATTTTTGGAGCATGGGGGATATTAGACCAGCTACGGTAGCATGCATGTTGCAAATCGACCAGTCAAAAACACTGTCTGACTGGTACAATGTCCACCGTGACCTCTGTCAGTGTTGGTTCAGGATTCATCCGCTACAACTTGGCGGACCAGGCCGAATCGTCCAAATTGATGAAACACTTGTTTCCAGCAACAAACGTACGCGACAGGGGCGAACAGGGGCCTCCCAACAACGTTGGGTTTTCGGAGGGGTTGATAACCTAACCAAAGAAGCCTTCCTCGTTGAAGTACCCCAACGAGACATAGCCACACTGATGCCGATAATTCAACAGCATATACTGCCTGGTATTGACTTTGCTATTTTAAAAGTATTCGATCAAATAACTTAATTACTAAATAAATTAACTTCTACTCGCAGGAACCTCAATTTGGTCAGACAGATGGTCAGCATACAACAACCTGACTCAATTAACCGGATTGACTCATGGCATAGACTTTATGGCCCCAACTGGTGTACATTCCAATGTAGTTGAAAACCTTTGGCGGTGTGCTAGAGAGGGACTTAAACGATTGCACGGTGTGTGTGATGTTCACCTATCATCGTATCTAGATGAATTTATCTGGCAATACAATGTTAAGGACAGAAATGAACGGTTTCAAAAAGCTCTTGAGCTTATTCGTTCTTGTTATAATGTGTAATTATTTGATTGTTTGGTTAATAAAAAAATTAAATACTTTATTCTGGGAAGTGGTACGTACACTCAGTGTTAGAGTACTATATGTCAAATACTATGATAAACTAATTTTCACGGTGTTATTCGCTAACTTTGTGTTTGTTTAACAAGTTAATTATTTTTTCAGGCTGTTTTATAATTAGAAAACAAACAATGTTGAAAAGAATATTTAAAAAAAATGGTTTCAACTTAAATTAACTTTTAGTTGTTACTGTAGGCGGAATTTATCGGTCCCTTTAAATAAAATAAATATTATCGGAAAAACCCAGTGATTTTTTTCAAGTATTTAAAATTCGCTTTTAAACTATTTAATTTTTTAATAATGGGATCGAATAAAGTTTACAGAAAAATTCCAACTAGGAATAACGATTTTAGTAAAAATTCCGACAAAAATTCAAAGAAAAGAAATAATACTAACAATAATAAACAAATTCATCCTTTGTCCACTAGATCTGGACTCATATTAGTGGGCATCACCGCGATCACGCTCTATTTATTACCGGTGGATTGGTCCCTGGTATCAGGCTGGTTTAAATTTTCATCTTCTAACTTTTACTGTTTTGCATTTCAGTCTTGCTTTAGTAGTCAGTTAAGTTAGAATTAGAGCTGGTCTTTAGAGTTAGTTAGCTAGTTATTTGTTAAATACAGTATCTCAGATTAGTAGTTCAACTTATTAGTGATTGTAGTTCAACTTATTAGTGATACAAATACAATATACAAAAAAAAATACAGATTGCCTTTACAGCATTGCTGAAAATTCCTACCACATAATGCTAATTAGGCAACTGTTCAACTCCACAAGTACAAATTTTAGTGAAGAAAATATGACAGCTTCGAGCAACACTAATGAGGAAGAAATAATTTTTAGTTGAGTCGTTATCTAATTTTTGAAACTTATTTTTAGTTCTTTTCAACATTTTTTAACATGCATTCTATTTTGCTATTTTTAACAAATGACCATTTCATGCTGTATTTCAGTTGAATGCTAATCCTAATTTTATAATTGTTTTGTAATAATGAACAACAAAAATGAAACTTGATGAGCTTTTGGAATTTTTTCTGAAAAAAATGTTTTATGTACACTGTTTCTTTTTAAAAAGCAATACTGAAATAAAAATTTTTACAATTGGCAGTCGACAAAATTGACAGACATCTCGCCAATACACACATAGCACTCTTTGTTGGCAAACTTTTTAGGAAAGTACTTGGTGACATACTCGCTGGCCTGTTTGCCAACTATAAGTTTATCAGTGTTGAATTCAAAAACATCTTCCAGGTGCAAGCTGCAATTGTCCCCACCGATTCTCATAACGTTCTCGATACGCACTGGCTCTGATGACATTTTTCCAAAGTCGTCGGTTAGGGCGATTTCTATAGAATAAAATTGAGGAGTCCCATCAAAGCAGCATTCGTGGAAGTTGTGATTAGGCAGAACGTGAGATTTGGATCCCGCTAGTGAATATACGTCACCGGATTTGCAGGTTAGGGCACCTTGAAACGATGAATTACTCTCCAAAAAGCATAGAAATGCAGTACCTTCATCTTTTATGTGAGCAGCCATAACTCGATGTTAAACTATTTACTATACCATATACTATGTTATAGTTAGCACTTATAAAATGTCAGTTCTATGTAAAAAAAAAACAGTAATTAGTCAAGACCAAATTTTTTAATTAGAATTAGAGAAAAATTTTCTGTTAAAAAACACTCAAATTCCTAAGAGGAATGCCAAGTTTAAAAAGTATTTAAAGATTAAAAAACTATACCGAAAATTATAAAATACGCTAATTCAAAACAATATAGCGAGCATACTGGAATGAGTGGGTACATCTAGCAAACGTTTTTAATTATTCAGGGTTTCCATCCTTAAATTATACATTTCCTTGATCAAAAGATTGAGTTCTATTTAAATCTATTGAAAAAACTAACTGCTAAATTCACTAAATCAATGTCACTTTTAAATAAAATTGAACTATAGTGAGTGTTCATTAATTTATAATGTTACCTATTCAGCCGATTCAAGTTACCATATTTTCAAGCTAAGAAGATTGAGAACTACATGAATCTATTGAAAAACTTAATGGTTAGATTCAATATTGAATAAATAAACTTAATAATTCAAGACAATAAATTTTTTCAGTGTTTATACTCTCAAGGTTCTAGTTTAAAGGCTAGTATTAACGCCAAAAAATACGACAAGAAAAGAAAGGCTTTTCTATGGGTATATTTTTAATTATTATTATTATTTGTAGTAGTATTAGTAACAGTGATAGTAATAATAACGGTAGTAGTAGTAGGATTAGTTAGTAGTGGTAGTAGTAGTAGCAGTAAGCAGTAGTAGTAATATAGTATTAGTAGTAGTAAGAGCAGTAATAACATACACTCATATTACCGCAGTGTTTCTTTTGTATTACCATAATTTTCTTAATTTTTTATTCAAAGCAGGTAGATTTTACTTCGATTTTGAATTTTACGATATCTCATACGATCGGTCTAGTTTTCCAGAATCGGGAAAAGTAGTCGCAACCACCATGATCAACAACATTCCCCATTACGTTTGCCATCCACATTGGTTAGAATCATTTTTTTCAGATAACTTTCTCTCTCTCTCTCTTTCACATATACACACACACATATACACAAGCCCCACACACTCACACACACAAAAACACATATATAGATACACACTTATATATATACACACACAAACTAACACACTCAAATGGTTTTTTAAATTTAATAATGAAAGTTTTTAGACAGAAGATGACATCAGACAAGAAAAACGGCTTATATTCAAGACATTTTTGAAACTTACGGCTGATTCTATGTCGCTTTTATTCAGAAAATTTTGATTTCGAAATAAAAATAGTGAAATATTTCAAAAAAATTCAATCTGATATTAAATGTTTTTATTCATTCATGACACGCAGTACTAGATATCATTAAATCTCATTGGTATCATCAAGTTATCTAGGTGATATCATTGAGTTTTAGGTTAAGAATTGAGCTATAGCGTTTGACCGTAATGTATTGACCATATTGAGCAATTCTGATCTTTGAGGGTGTCTCTGAGACATGACTATAGATCGTGTCAACGAGACGTGTCTATAGACGATGTCTCGCCTGAGGACCATGAATTTAATTAATTCTAATTCACATCACTTTGTTGTGTTTTGAAATTAAAAGTTAACTTACTTGTGTTGTTTTTCTTTGCAAATTATATTATCTAAATTCATTTTTCAGTTATTTTAAAGTTACAAAGTATTTTTCAATCGTAAATCGTCATTTTAATTTAAAAAGTTTAATAAATAGTCGTAAAAATGAGCGATAATGAAAGCATACCACGTGTTGATCTCGGAATCCTCGCGAAAGTGCCGAAATGGAGATTTTACTCTCATTTGTTTCCGTCAAAAGTCGGCGCGAAACCGGCCTGGCTGTCGTTAAAACCGCTGCCTACTGTCGACAACCTAAAATGTGGCATTTGTTCAGAAGTCTGCATCTTCCTCCTCCAAATTTACTCCCCACTGATCGAGAGTGATGACTCCTTCCATCGGACGATTTTCGTTTTCATCTGTCGGAATCCTAATTGTAGCCTGCCTAACGATTCCCGAAACATCGTAGTGCTACGTTCTTGTCTGCCTAGAGAGAACCGGTTTTACTCTTACATTCCCCCTGATTATGACTCGGAAACTGCTAATAGAAGTGCGCCATCTGAATGTTATTATCAAAGTTTGTGTGCCCTGTGTGGGTGCGTTGGGCAAAAAAAATGTGGGTCTTGCCAGAGAATTTATTATTGCTGTAAAAGTCACCAGGTACTTGATTGGAAGGAAGGGCATAAGGAAGAGTGTGGAGTACTTCAAATAGGTATGTTTTGTATATGCTAGTTTATGTGTATGTGTAAGTGTGTTAGTATGTTTGTTTGTTTGTTTGTGTATACCTGTAGGCAGGTTAGTTAGTTAGTTTATGTGTATGTGTAGGCATGTTAGCATGTTTGTTTGTTGGTTTGTTGGTTTGTTTGTGTGGGTTGTGCGCATTAATGTATTTTAAATGTTTATTTATTAATAAATACAAAAGGACAAACAACAATATTTTTTTTAAATAAATTTACAGTAGAATAAATTAACAAAAACATATACACGCCACACACACGCATACATACACGCACGCACGCACACACATACACACATACATACACGCACGCTTACACACACACATTCATACAATTTTTAAATTCAACAGATAGAGACAGACTCAGCAAGCAGTTGTTTGAAGAATTCATTATAGACATATCCAGCGATTCAGATGATGAAAGTGATGATGATGATGATGGTGATAATAATAATAATAATAATAATAATAATGATAATGATAATAATAATAATCATAATGATAATGATAATAAAAATAATGATAATAGAAATGATAATACCATTGAGGAAGGAGCAAAGAGTTTTGAGACAGAACTAACGAAATCAAACTTTTCGGTAGAGGAACTTGAGAAAATGGCCTTTTCAAAGTCTGACAGAACATTTGAAAATTTTAAAAAAATTGTCAAAGTCCACCCAGAACAAGTATATATATATTCTGTTTTTGTTTTGTTTATTTCAGTAATTTATATATTTTTGTTTTGCACCTAGGTTCGCTTTAAAATTCCCAAGTAATCAAGGGTTCATTATTTAACTTCACTTTTAAACTTCCAGATGATTAGGTATTCTCGTAAAGGAACACCTCTGTGGATAACTGATGAGAATCAATTGAATGTCGACGACGTTCCTAATTGTCAGTACTGTGGATCCAGGAGGGTATTTGAATTTCAGGTTAGGGAACGAAATCAAAAGATTATAAATATAAAATGATACAAATTAATACTCTTTTTTTTCATTAATTGAAATTTTAAAACTTCAGATCAAGATGAACTTTTTAAATGAATTTATAATCATTTTTTCATAAAATAAAATAAAATTCTCCATCTTTAAGATTATGCCGCACCTAGTTTACAAACTCGGACTCGACTCTATCGGAAAAAGCTTGGACTGGGGTGTCATCTCGATCTTTACCTGTGAGAAGAGCTGCACTGATACTAGCAACAACTACCTCAGAGAGTTTGCTTACAAACAAGATGTCACTAATTGAAATTAAATTTCTGATTTCTCGTTGCAATAATAACTTTCGAATAATATAAACTATAATTAATAATAATATAATTGACAATATTATAATTATAATTATTGTTATAATTATTACTATTGTTTTACTGATGTTTTTTGTCAGCTTGAGTGAGAATTCATTAAATAAACTTGATGATATATTGATTGATGCAAAAGATTTTAATCGAAATCCAATTAATTTCAATAGAAGGAAGGCAGTTTCGAACGTCTGTACACACACACACACACACACACATACACACATTATAACTTGTACTGTAAACTCAAAATGAATACGTAATGTATCACACACACACACACGCACGCACACTTAAGTCTAGGATATTTACTGATGATGATATTTCAAATCAACATTAGATGTGGATGGATACCATAGTGATATAAAATGATACAAAAGGATACAAAAGTAGTAGAACGTTAAAACAACGATGATACCAAGATAATACCATGGGTATATTTATATAAATCTATGGTTGCCACAGTTTTTTTCCAAACACAATCTTCTCGATAAAATTTAATAAAAAGATGAAAGAATGATACTCAAATGAAGAAATGATACTCGGATACTGTGAAAGTATCACGATGATACTCAGATAATACCACGATGATACTCAAATAATGACTCAGACAGTACTCCAAGAAACACGCCATTAACCTTAATGTAATTGTTTCTTTCCACCAGACAATCTGTCCGACGAAAAAATATGAAATGATAGAACGATGATGATATTGAGATACTGAGATGATACCATGACACAGAAACAACACTGCTCGGATAGCAAGCATTACCGCTATCGATTTGATATTTATCATACATCATCAAACATGTGCTCGAGACGTTTTTTCAAAAAGTTTTTTCATTCAAATTATTTTTTTCAAGTTTTTTAGATGAAATTTTCAGTTAATTTTTTGTTTGTATATCAGTTATTATCGTCAAATATCCTCATTTTAAACTTTATTTAATTTTAATCTGGTTAAATAATACAGAAAAAGTATTTCATAATGATGGAAAAAAAGAATTGATAATAATATAATAATTTTTGGAATTGTGAAATAAAAATCCTTAGGATGATAAACTAATAAAATCTTCAATAATCTCTTAATTTCACGCAAGTTCAATGAATTAATAAGACACTAGTCCATATGCCACAATCAATCACACACACGCACACACACAAGCATAATCACACACAGACACGCACACTTAATTTCATTTACCAGATTAATACCTTTCGAATAGTATTTATTTGCTCAATTGCTTCGGTTAATTAATTCCACAAAAGGATTTTTAACAATAACAAATGTGTCAATGAAAAGATTTTTTAACCAAAATATGTGTGTGCGTGCGTACGCGAGCGTGTGTGTGTGTTTGGATGTGTGTGTGTGCGCTTGTTTTTATTCAATAATTTTTCGCAAATAACACTTACTTACTGAGGTTAAATCATAATTCGGCTTATGTAATAGTAACAGTTATAAATAATAATATTAATAAATACTATTATTATTTCAATAATTATAGTGATAGTAGTAGTAGTAGCAGCAGCAGCAGCAGTAGTAGCAGTAGCAGCAGTAGTAGTAGTAGTAGTAGTAGGTAGTAGCAGCAGCAGTAGTATTTTCGTCGTCGTCATCACATCCCTATCATCACAGAAGTGAAAACATTTTTAATTACAGTTATCATCATCATCGTCATCATTTTCGTCATCCTCATCACCATCATCATCTTTATTAATGTTATTATTATTTTTAACGTAAGATTTACAACAACACACATGTGCTCAAGTAACTTCGATTAGAAAGCTTATTTTATTTTAGATTATTTTAATCAATGTTGGACATACATACATACATGCATACATACATACATACATACATACATACATACATACATACATACATACATACATACATACATACATACATACATACATACATACATACATACATACATCCACATCTATAAAGATACAACGCTCTCAAACTATCAGATTATCCAAAAACTCATTCCACTTATTTCTGAACTAATAAGTTCGGTAAACGCATTTTTTATTGCTATAATTTTTGAAAAATTATTATTATTATTATTGTTATTATCATTATGAATGATAGCAATAATAATAAAAAAGAATTGCTGATGGGTTTGGCTGCTTTGGTCGTTTTGTTGTGTCTGGCTGTGAGAAACTGCAAAGGTGAGTTTAGATTCGACATTCTAGTTATTCACTTATCTATTTATAATTTAAATGTTAATTTAAGTTTCGATTTTAGATAGATTTTAGTTTTATTAATTTATAAGTTCTCTTCGGCAAGATGGAAAGATGATCTCCGCGTCTTTCTACTCTAGCTGTTACATCGTGAGCCGGTTCAAATGCAAAGTATTCCCCGAACGTAAAATTTTAATTGCCCATGTCTATGATAGACAGATTAATCAAAGTATTTCATATTCTTACTGTCTTGTTCCAGCTGATAATACAAAAATCGGAGAAAAAATGAACAACAACAACGACAACAACAACAATAATAATAATAAGAGAGATATGGATGAAAATAAGAGGGATAATAATAATAAAAGAGACATAGTCGTGAATATCCTGGCTTTCATCGACTACTCCGTTTACGCTAAGTGGGTTGAATGATTGATTGATTAGTTGATTGATTGATTGATTGATTGATTGATTTATTGGTCGGTTGGTTGGTTGGTTGATTGATTGATTGATTGATTGATTGTATAAATGAACGAGTGAATAAATTAATGAATGAGTGATTGAATGAAAGAGTGAATGAATAGACAAATTAACGAATGATTGATTGATTGAATGTAAGGATGGGCTGTTTGGCTTATTAAACGATTGCTTGGATTCGTTTGATTAGTTAATTGGTTAGACAGTTGGTAGATAAATGATTGAATGAATATTTAAAAGAATGGATGAATAAAATAACAAGAGAATAATATCAATAACCAAAACCAATCACCAACAACCACAACAACAACAACAACAACCACCACAACCAAACAACAACAACAACCACCACAACAACAACAATAATGACAATTTTAACGAAAAAAGATGGTTGAACACGTTGAAAGACAAGAGCATAACTCAAACTTACCTGAAATCCTACATCGCAAATGTTGTTTCAGAGGTTACATTGCAATAATTAAAAAATATAATTATTATTATTATTGTTATTTTTATTATTATTATTATTGTTTTTGTGGTTACTGATGTTTTAGGTGTTATTGCTAATGATTGTTCTTAGAAGAACCCGTAACTACAGATTAAACTGAAAATGAATGAATGAATGAATGAAGGGGTGAATGAATGAATGAACAAATGAATTATTGAATGAATGAATGAATAACTGAATGAATAACTGGATGAATGAATGAATGAATGAATGAATGAATGAATGAATGAATGAATGAATGAATGAATGAATGAATGAATGAATGAATGAGTGAATGAATAAATGATAGAATGAATGAATGAAGGGGTGAATGAATGAATGAATTATTGAATGAATGAATAAATGAATGATTGAATGAATGAATGAATAACTGGATGAATGAATGAATGAAAGAATGGGTGAATTATTTTTTTTTAATTTCAGACGAACGCTATATACACAGCAATCGATGAACCAACGTTCCAAATTGAAGTCAATCTTGCCGATGTTTACATCGCAAATGTAAGAAAAATACTACTACTACTACTACTACTACTACTACTACTACTACTTCTACTACTACTACAGCAACTACTACTTCTACTGCTACTACTACTACTACTACTATTACACACACACACACACTCACATACACGACAGTCAACAGTAAAATTCATTGAAGACAAGAGACTTCAGCCAGGCTCAAATACAATTGACCCTTATAAAGCACTTGACTCTTTTAAAAGTTGGGCGATATCGAACAGGAAGAAGTTTACGAAATTCAACGTTCCAGCCATTTTTACGGCGTAAATTTTCATTTTAGAATTCATTTTTTGTCAAAAAATAAGAATGAAATAATTTATATATTATGGCCCATTTTTATGTTGGGCTGGTATCTGCTTGCAATCAAACCTGGTTACTGCGATAGCACTGCCAGGCACGCTAACCATTAGGCCACCAGCAAATATTCCTACATATTAGTGGCTCTTCTGTTTATTTTAACTCCCAAAACAGGTACGAGATAAGTGATTTGATGCAAGGTTTGGCCATCGCGAAATCTGTATGCTCCAGTGATTCTGCACTTATCAGCAGATCTTATGAGTTCCAAGATACGGTACAGTCTTTTAGCCATGAGTTGGGACACGTGTTAGTTTGTATTTTTTGGCATTGTATTGTATTGTATGTCGTTGTATTGTATTTTGTAGTATTGTATATTGTTGTATTGTATTGATTGTATTGTGTGTCGTTGTATTGTATTTTGTAGTATTGTATATCGTTGTATTGTATTGAGGGTAATGTATGTGGTTGTATTGTATTTCGCGGTATTGTGTTGTATTGACAAATAGATTATACGAATAAATTTCACAAGTAAACAAGTAACCGGTTATTAGATCCACTTACTCTGAGTCCGAATACGGTCCTATTAACCGACTCCTGCTAATTTCCAAACAACTTCCTATGTATATACAGTACCCATTACAGCTGATAATTAATTTATTATAATTTTATTATAATTTATGATAATTTATTCAGCATGGGGGCGGATCATGATGGCGATGGGAACAGTTGCCTGCCAGATGATCAGTACGTCATGAGTGCCAGTTTCAAAAAAGTCCGAAAAAACGAATTTTCACCCTGCTCCAAATTATCATTTAAAAATTTTTTTGATGGTCTGGATAGGTGAGCGAGTAAGTGAATTAATGAATGAATGGGTGAATGAATTAATAAATGAATGGGTGAATGAATTAATGAATGTGTGGGTGAATGAATTAATGAATGTGTGGGTGAATGAATTAATGAATG